ATCCTGTGATTTTTCAGTTAGGAGTTTGTATAAGGTTTTCTCTGCTAATATCATACCGTCATGCTGAGTCTCTTATGTTGCATTACTTTATGTCAGCTTACAAACACTTTGAAGGATAAGAAGAGCAGATGTTATCTCCATTTTCCAGGTGAAAAAACAGGCTCAGGGAGATGCTATTTACTCAGGTCTCCATGGCTGGAAAGCAGGCAAAATATGCCAAATATTTTTATTTCCAGTCCCTCTTACTGCTTCTCAATATGCATCTTTTTAGTGGGGACCTCTTTTTTCTCATCTCCTGATGTTTCTTTCCCATGAAAGGCGCTCAGTCACTTAACACCCGGCCTCGCTCCTTTTCCCCACTCCACACTGGGGAGGTAGCAACTTACCTGACTGGTAAACTTAGGAAGAATTCCCCCCTCATTCCTCTTGGGAGGGAGCTTGCCTCCCAGAGCAAAGTTCTACTCTGCACTGCAATGCAGGAGCTATGGGGTAGGCAGGGGGTGGGTCAAAGTGGAGGTTTTTTCCGGTTCATTTCTGCCTGGAATTTGGTGCTTGAAATCATTTAATCCAGGCTGCAGGCCCGCTAGATACCATAAATATTACCCTCCCATCGAGCTTCTATTACGAATAAGGTCAATATTTTGGTTTCTATCTTTACTCATTGTTTTATTTCCCAACTTGCTCAGAGCCTGAATAAAGAATAAGGTTACTATTTATTGGGCACCTTCTACATATCTGCAACATTCTAGAGAGTCTGGAAATAAGAATGAAATCATCATGACCAAGCACTACAATAACCACAGGAATATTGCGTGACTCAGAAAATACATTAGATGTCAACAGAAGCCAGCTTGGAGAATCCACTGATGGTACAAGTAGCAATTAATAGACGGAAATGCTGGGGCGCCTGCGTGGCTGAGTGGTTAAGCGTCTGCCTTCGGCTCAGGTCATGGCCCCGGGGTCCTGGGATCGAGCCCCGCGTCGGGCTCCCTGCTCTGTGGGAAGCCTGCTTCTCCCTCTCTCACTCCCTCTGCTGTGTTCCCTCCCTTGCTGTATCTCTCTCTGTCAAAAATAAAATCTTTAAGGGGCACCTGGGTGGCTCAAAAATAAAATCTTTAAGGGGCGCCTGGCTGGCTCAGTCGTTAAGCGTCTGCCTTCGGCTCGGGTCATGGTCCCAGGGTCCTGGGATCAAGCCCGGCGTCGGGCTCCCTGCTCAGTGGAGAGCTTGCTTCTCCCTCTCCCACTCCCTCTGCTTGTGTTCCCTCTCTCGCTGTATCTCTCTCTGTCAAATAAATAAAAATCTTAAAAAAAAAAATAATAGACGGAAATGCTGAAAATGAAACCCATTCCCTTAGGACAAAAATCAATGGACCAGATAACAAATTAACCTCTATTCACTGCTAAAATCTCTAGGAGCAAAAATAAAATCAATATGTACCAAGTATGCAGTGGTTCTAAGACATAGCATCAGACATGAAAACTAAGGTGAAGCATTAGGCTTATTGGGAAAAACCAATTTGTATAAAATAGGCTTATATATGACCTTCTTTACTTAAAAATCAACTTAAATTCCACTTCTTCGGTGCAGCTTGCCCAGAATAACCATACACAACTTTTTTTTAGTGCTTACTATATGCTAGATACCTCCTGACACATAAAAATGTACACAAGTACATAGGTAAAGGCAGAATGTGGTTCCGTACTAAAGGAAGAAGTTTAGTAAACTTCTCAATTGGGGATGAAGAAGAATTTACAAGAGAAAGAAGACACTGTACTTTGGACCAGGGCTGGTGAGACCTTGAATGTGTATCTGCAGACCCCGGTTCTTGTAGATTCAAATGTTAGTAGCATATTCCTGCTCAGGCCAGAATAGATACCCCATAGTAAATCCCAGAAGGAGCAGCTTGATGTGTCTCTGGATCTTTCCACCTCTCCAACTGGAACTGTTGGAACTGTCAAGAGTGTTTTGTTAATGGCTCATCCTTTGCTCACTGTATCTGAGCCTCCGAGAAGAATGTTCACCTCAGGATGCTTATTTACAAAGATTCTCTCCTGAGTTTCTATTGCATTTTCATTTACTAGTGAAGTAATAGGAGATCAGTACCATATCATTCTAGAAACTTGCTTTGAAAATGATGTGATGAGCATATACAGTAGATATTTTAAAATAGAAGTGTTACATTTGGGTACTTTTTTTTTTTTTTAAAGATTTTATTTATTTATTTGACAGAGCGAGACACAGCGAGAGAGGGAACACAAGCAGGGGGAGTGGGAGAGGGAGAAGCAGGCTCCCGGCCGAGCAGGGAGCCCAATGAGGGGCTTGATCCCAGGACCCTGGGATCATGACCTGAGCCGAAGGCAGATGCCCAACTGACTGAGCCACCCAGGCGCCCCACATTTGGTACTTCTAATAGTGATTTCTTGTTTTCTACTTTGGAATTTTGCTTGGATGCTCCTAAACATGACTTACACACTCTCCTACTAAACTTCCTGGGGACAAGGATTGGGTCATATCAATCTATGTAGCCCTCCTAGTGGTGTGTGTACAGATTGTGCTCAATAAATATTTGCTAGATGAAAGACCGGTCACATTATAAGAGAACAAAGAACTCTAAGCCACCCTGAGGTTTACTTGTTACTTTAACTTCCCATCAGGCTTACAGTACTTCTGAGAATGCATTCATATGGAGAATTCAAATGTCTTGCCGTGGGCAACAGAAGTACCGGCAGCAGGAATTTTTTTCTAGATATCTAAAAAGCTTGCACATCAACTTTAAAGTATATATTAGTGGCTGTAGACAAATGAGGAATTCTTTTTTTTTTTTTTTAAAGATTTTATTTATGTATTTGACAGAGAGAGACATAGTGAGAGCAGGAACACAAGCAGGGGGAGTTGGAGAGGGAGAAGCTGGCTTCCTGCCGAGCAGGGAGCCCGATGCGGCGCTGGATGCAGGGCTGGATGCGGGGCTCAATCCCAGAAACCTGGAATCATGACCTGAGCCGAAGGTAGACGCTTAACGACTGAGCCACCCAGGCGCCCCAAATGAGGAATTCTTTAGTGCAACTAATCTAAAAAGGTTTTTACTTGTCAGAAACACCTTAATTTTTTTAGGATTACTGGTCAATATTAAAAAAATGATCTTATACTTCTTGATAAATATCACCAGCTGTTTTTGAAACAAGTTTTCTTGGTTTCTAACGCCATTAGAGGGATAAGAACATACCTTTCACGGCACCCTCTCCCTTCCCCAACTCTAGGTAGTGATCTTCTTTTCCTTAAAGTTTTACTCACTTAATAAGTGAAAAATACAAAGTTTATTGTTCTTTTCATTCTCATTTCTTTTGAGGCTGAGCAATTTCTCCTATTTTTTTTTTTAAAGATTTTAAAAATTTATTTTGAGAGAGAGAGATCGTGAGTGCTCACGAGCCGGGGGAGGTGCAGAAAGAGTGGGAGAGAGAGAGGGAGATTCCCAAGCAGAGTCCCCCAGAGCAGGGAGCCTGACGTGGGGCTTGATCTCACCACCTTGAGATCATGACCTGAGTTGAAATCAAGAGTCAGATGCTTAACAGACTGAGACACCAGGTGCCCCAGGAATTTCTCCTATTAATGTCCTCTGCTCATTTTTATCCTTAGCAGTCTTAGTGGTCTTCTTGCTAATTTGTTTAAATTTTATTACATAAAGGTGAAAAATATTAACCCCTGCCTTTTTGCTTGTTGTATATATAGTTTTTCCGGTCTATTTGTCTTTTGTCTTATATTTTTTTATGTGAAGAAGTTTTAAATTGTGCGAGTGAAAATCTCTCACTCTTGTGATTCTTTCAGTCGCTCCCAAGTTTGGACTGCTCCCCAGAAGTCTGATAAATATTTGTTTTATTTTCTTCTGCTTTTAAAAAAATGGTCTGAGTTTTATATTTTAAGACTGAATCCATTTGAAATGTATTGGGATGCATGTGTGAGATATAGGTCTAAATAATTTCCCTGCCAAATTGCTATTTCAATACCATTAATTGAATTATTGTTCTCTTCTGCATTATTTGGTGATGCTTTTGTGAAAAATCACATATTAAATTCTTCTATGCAATTGGGTCTACATCTTCTAATTTCATTCCAGTCCAATGATCTGTCTGATCTTGAAAGAGTACCACACTATTTCAAATATTGTTTTAGAATCTTCTACTTTGTAGGACTCTTCACTCCATGCCACCAGCATTACTACTGCTTTTTGGAAGTTATTTTATATTTTATATTCACCTTTGTCTATTGCTTCACATGAACTTGAAAATATTTTTGTCTTCTCCCCCTAAAAACAGTCCTGTTGGATTTTTGTCATTGATCTATAAATTAATTTGTGAAGAATTGACATCCATTTATTTTGCTCACCTGGGAGTGAGCAGCCAAACTATACCCTGGTGAGGATCCAGGAGCAATGGCCCATTTTGTTTCCTTTTGTTACCCAAGAAACCCAAAGCTAAACTTGTGACTGTTTAACTTACCTCATGCGCATCTCTCCTCTTGATGGTTTTTCAACCTTATAATTTTTTTGTCTTGCTTTATATAGGATTCAGCATCATAAAGCACATCAAAACTTTTTTTAAAAAATAGGCAAGATATAAATCATTAACAAATAGAACTATTAAATAAATTGCACCATATACACTGTTTGTACTAACAACATTGAAAAAAAAAAGAAGACGAAGTAGTGGGGATATGGCCCATAAAAGTGTTACCGTGTGACTAATTTTCCATTCAGAAAACAAGCTAGAATACCTTCTGTGTGTGTGTGTGAGTGTGTGTACCCATATATACGCATGTGTACAGGTCGGTATTCCGACATACATGTGTGCACAGCTGATGAAAACATTTTAAATGAAATTGAAAAATATTTTAAAACAACATGGTCCTTGAAACCTGAAACTGCATCGTTCTGTTGATTTCCCTTAAAAAACGGTTTTTAAAACATTCCAGCAACTCTATTTTAACAACATAATTTTTGTTCTAGAATGAAGACCACTATTTAATGCGTCAAACTCTTCCAAATACTTCCCCATTGAACTGACGGACATTAGGTTCCTGAACCCAGGGACTCTGTCACAGAGAGCAGCTAAGCCTGCCACCCACTGTCACAGAAGGCAGCCTCCGGATGCCAGGGCTCCCCACGTGGACTAGACCCAGAGCACCTTCACCTCAACCCGTAATTCTGCTCGGGAAGTAGGAAAAGGAAGGGTGGGTCTCCTTGTTCCCAGAATACACCTGGCCGAACCCCCAAATCGGGTCAAGGAAATAAAATAATCGACTACCTGGAGCTTCCTGGAATCACTGCTGATAGGACCCCGAACACCAGCATCCTTATTTAAGCTGAAGCAGACAACTACCGCCAGGTGGCGCCAACCGCAGCGTCCCAGCTTGAACAGGTTTGGATCTTGCAGTTTTGTTAAAACTGTTAAAACTCGCCTCATTTAATTAACAGGGCAATAATGACCCCTTATTTACACGACAGAGGTGTTTTTTTTTTAATTTCTCATTCTGTATTATGGGTGGTAGAGTTGAATTTTAGATTATTATGAGACTGTACCTTAATTTTTCCCCCTTCCCATCAATATTTTATTTGGAAAAATTTGAAACCTAGAGAAAAATTACAGGAACAGTACAGTATGTAATGAACACCCATATACCCTCCTCCTAGATTCACTAATTCTTAACATTTGGCCTCATTTTCTCTCTCTTCAGATCTATGGGTACATTTATTTTTCTGAACCATTTGAAAATTAGTTTCATCATCTTGACTTTCATCAACTAAATATTTTGGCAAATTGTCTCCTTAGAACAAGGATATTCTTCTACACAACAGGCACACTCAGAAAATGTAATGTTAGTACAATATTATTATCTAATATATAGATCTTAGTATTGAATTTCCTAAATCGTCCTGGTAATGCCACTTAGAATTTTTTTTTTTAAATCCAGGATCTAATCAAAGATCACACTCTATATTTAGTTGTCATGACTCTTGGGTCTCCTTAATCTGATCTGGCATGGCTCCTCAGCCTTCTTTTTTGGGGGGGGCAGTCTTTTATGAAAATGACATTTTTAGACAGCCCAAGCCATTTTTTGGGGGGTTAAACATTTTTGGCAAGAACACTGCAAGATGATGCTATATTGTTTAAAGAACAGTTTTTAAAAGATTCCAGCAACTCTATTTTAACAACAAACTTTTTGTTCTAGAAAGAAAACCACTAATTATTGGCTCTTACATTAATTTTAATTTTAATTTGTTTATTATTTTTTTTAAAGATTTTATTTATTTATTTGACAGAGAGAGAGATAGCGAGAGCAGGAACACAAGCAGGGGGAGTGGGAGAGGGAGAAGCAGGCTTCCTGTGGAGCAGGGAGCCCGATGTGGGACTCGATCCCAGGACCCTGGGATCATGACCTGAGCCGAAGGCAGACGATTAACGACTGAGCCACCCAGACGCCCTCTTACATTAATTTTTAAACACACACAAACTTCATTGGTATTTCCAAGTTTGTCATTGCATCCCACTTCCATACATAGATCACAGATTTTGGAGAGCATGTAAAACAAAAGGATATTAACACCATAAAAATTGGTAGACCCAAGTTCATAAGGGATTGCATCTAAATTAAGTCCCAACTAGTTCTATTAAATTCTGTTTCTGTTGGATACCTGCCTTGTTTGGCCAGGAACCTTCCTTTCGAAGAGCTACCACTTCCCTCTCTGCATGGCCCTGGTTGGCTGTCAATCATGGGATTCAACCACCCTACTGTGGTGATTGGTTCAAGGATAAGTGAGAGACGACCTGAACAGAGCCAGTGTCTTCCCTGAGAAATTATGGATTCTGGAAAAGACAGTCTCTTTCTTCTCTTGGGATCATGAAATAAAATATAACGCTGGCTAGACCCATTTGATCTTACGGGGCAGATTCTACAGAAGAAGAGAATAAAATTTACACACACAAAATGAAGCAGTGGCAGGCTGCTGGGATAAACAGATCAATGGAGAGATGGAGTTAGTCCATGTGACATTTTTTTAGTCCATGCATCTAGCCATGTCTGAAATTAGTTAGATCATCTAAAAGTTCCTCCCTCTTACCCCCAAGCTAGTTTGAGCTGGGTTTCTGTCTCTCGCAATTGAGTTTTGACTAATGCACTCATGATTAAAGTACTTGGCCAGAATCTCAGGGATATTTTTCTTTGTGATTGTGGAAGCCATGTCAAGTCACTGAGGAGCCCCGGGTTCCTGGGCTATACATAGGGATGATAATACCCACATCAGGATTGGGGGGATTAAAGAGGGAACTAAGTAAGTACTTCACAGTGCCTGCCTCATATTAGGGAACTGATGAGCTCTAGACATGTGTACAAAAGTCTAGGGCATCTGCCAGCCTTCTGCCATTTGCTCTGTGCCCTTGAATTTTCTCTCACTCTGCCCAGACTAAGTCAAACTTTGCTGAGAACAGTGCTTGGTCAGGTAGTATTAATTTCTCACTGTCATCATATTGGTCATATTCTCTCCATTTGTCCTATAAATGCAGAAACACGAACAGAGCATTGAATATGTCTTGAGGGTATTCAGCGTTTGTTAGGTTATTATTGTTCCAGGTGAGGGAGAAGCCATGGGTGAGGCTAAGTGGAACTTAATTGCACTGACATTTTTGGCAGTAGGTACTTCCAGCAGAAGCTAAACCTGAGGCTGGGTGGAGGGGTGGCGGCGTGGAAGGGGGAGGGGCAGGGAGAAAAAAATGTTGGAGTTGGCGTTTGGGTTTTTTTTTTTTTTTTTTTGGCTCCCATTTGTATTTGTTTTGGTCTCATTTGTCCTCTTTCTGCAACAGTTTCCAGAAGGAAGTTTGTTCTTTCAGAGCCCACAATAGCCTTGTGTTTGTTGCTATCAAAGGGACAAGTGTCAAATAGTCTTTCAGAAAAGTAAAGTTCCCAGAGAAGAAATCATGATGTTTCTGTAAGCACCTTCCCGACTCAGGCATATCACGGGGATTCTAGAATTGCAAAGATTCTCACAATTGCTACATTTTTCTTGGCTCTTGTTCTAAGTACTTTAGCAACCGCTAAGAAGGAGCCACCCCAAACAGGAACAAACAGGTGTCCTTGCTTACTTCAGACCTGGAAGATCAGTGGAGGTGACACAGAATTGCTGGCTGGGGCAGGCTGTCTCATGGCACGAATTTCTGCACATTCTATGGTGTGTCTGGAGTAGGGAGCAAGGGTGCAGCAGGGACCACTCATGCCTGAACAATCTACCTCATGTGGAGAGAATCTGCTGGGTGTGCTTTGTGGAGGTCAACCCATCCAGTTTGCCAACAACTTCCTGTATGTTTTGGGGTTGAGTGATGGTAAACTCAGGGTTGGAAGCAAATGATTTGACCATACCTCAGTTTCAAGGGTCCTGATTGAAGAGTAATCTTTTTTTTTTTTTGCTACTTGGATTTACTCACATAGAAAAAGTACCGGTGGCATGAGCTTGGCAGAACCTCTTTGCTTGAGGGGCTGTTAGATCCTCCTGGGAGGGAGTTGGTGCTAAGGACAGAGGTCCAGCACACAAATTCTGCCTGAGAAAAATGTCTCATTGGTCTGAGGCAGGAGTGGTTTGAAAATAGTGCATTTCACCTTCCAAGTGCTCCCAAGAGAGTCCTAGAGGAGAAGCTACAAGTAAAAACTCAAGAGCTGCTCTACACATCCCTATGAGTGTCTGGAACACTGGTCAGCAAGGCTTTGGGCCATGCTTGGGGAAGGACCCACATGCACAGAAAGAACATTTCCTCTTTCTAGCAGAGTAGCTGTGAGCATCACAGTGAGACTTCAGGGTCAATGCAGGGAGCATGAAGGATGGTGGTAGCCTTGGTGGCCACCTGAAGGGACCTGAGTGCAGGTTTTGTGGGTCCCAATGCCTCCATGAGCCAAGGCAGTCCGTGGCGTGATGGAGACACTGCTCCAGGCGGATGCCAGAGGGAGTACTGCACTGGTCTTGGTGACTGAGACCTGGACAAAGACCTCTGTGAGGGGGGCTGAGATGGTGGGGGACAGGAGGAAGCGAAGAATCCTTTATTGATGAGCTCAGGAGTGTCCTTCCCCCAGTAATAAGGGAGACAGGGGAGTGGGACAGATGTAGAGAAATATGGTTTGTTAACAGTAAATGTAACCCGATTGTAACCCTTTTTCTCCCAGGAAGTGCTCTGGGATGGAGGAGAGAGGGGGACGTGGGTTCTATCTGTAATTTCAAGTTGACTTATTCCAATGATAAACAGCTGGTGCCACAGAAGAGGAGAAATGATGCAGGGTTGTTGTACTTAATTGGCTGGGAAGCAGAATTTGGAGGAAGCCTGATTTGGTCTTGTGAAGATCAACTTGTGGCCTTCCCTTAATTCCCCCTGAGGACCCAGAGTCTAGAGGTAGATTTAGAAACGTCCAGGGATTTGTAAGCAAAGCTTCTTGAGAGAAGATTTGAGCCAAAGTACTAATAAGAGGAATGAGCACATCTAAATCAACGTCCGATTTGGGGGCAGCATCTACCCATTAGTCTCAATAGTGGAACAATTCCATAACTGACAATAAAAGGAATCAAAGGGGAGGAAATAATACTCAGATGGCTCTAATACAGACTTTTTGGAAATACTATCTTGGATTGACTGTGTATCATCTATTATTCTCTAGTGAGACTACTTTGTACACAGAAGTATAAATCCAGAGCATGATTGCTGAAGCCATCAAACCTAGTTTTCTGAGGGTTTTTTTTTTTTTTTTTTTTTAGTTCTTAGGAAATTCAGTGTGGCAGAGTACAAAGGACATTTACATCGTAATCATAACCTGGTTTGCTCTACTTCTACCAGCTTGTGTGCCCTTGAGGAGATCACGTGACACCACTCAGATTCAGTTCTGTAGGACTGGAAAAATGTGGGTAATAACTGGCTGAGTTCCTGTTAGTGTATCAGAAACAAACAATTCTAAGTTTCAGCAGGAGTTATTAATACAGTATTACATTTATTGCGATCTGATTTTAACAAAGGGTGTATAAGCAAAAATAGCTCTAATGAGCACACGTTGCAGACTGAGCTGGCCCCTGAAATGAGGATGACAGGTGTTGACATCTGGAGCCTCAGGTTAGGTCTGCACTGCTTGCCCTTGCTTTTCTATTGATGGCAGCTTTGGGGGATGCCGAAGACAAAGCCCAGCAACTCCTGAATCACAGCAGTTATGGTTTTAAATCGTTTGAACCTTGGTTTATCTACTGAGGTGAGATGGTTCAATATCTTAGAGAAAGGTCACTCTAAAACTCAGATTAGACATTAAGCTATAGAGGATTGTGATTATGTCACATCAAGCATCCAGAAAATACCAAACCTGACGGGGAAATGGAGTTGAGCTCTAGTTGCGCTGTTTCATTCCAGTTTCTACCCTTGATCACCCTTAAGGTCATCCTCCATAGCTGCACCTTGTAGCTGAGGCCCCACAAAATCTGGATCCACCCCTGAGTAAGATATGCAGCACATTATGAGGAGGAGGTGAAATTTATAAATGAGGATTAAAGGTTGAGAAGGGGGTTAGCTCCACAATACAGGGAGAGCAGAGCAACATTCCAGGCAAAGGGAAGAGTCAGTGTGAGCAAATGGATGGATGGATGGAGGGAGGGATACATACCCTTTGCTTAGAAATAAAGGTATCTCCTAAATATGGCTGGAGCTTATGCTACAAAATAGCTAATACTGACTCTTCTCCCACTGGAAGTATCATAGTGGCTAAAGGCACATCTATCATATGATTGGCAAGGCCCCAATTTGAATCCTGGCTGTGCTGATTACTCGTTACCTGTGGAGTCTAGAACTAGTTATTTCCTGCAACCTCCCAGGCCTCAAGTGTCATAGTTAAAAAAAATGAGGACATTAATATCTACCTCAAAGATTGTCCTAAGAATTAAACGAAATTTTGTAAGGCTGTTAGTGCAGTCCTCAGCACGTAGTAAGTTTTGGGTAAATGTTAGCTTTAACCATCATCATCATCAACAGGTAATTTCCATCCAAGAAAAAGCAGTGACTGATTGCAATAGCCACCTGAACAACATGTAACAAAGAGTAGAGTAAGCGAGGTCATCTTAAAACTAGAGATTTCCAAAGAAATACACAGGGATGTTATCTGAAGATCTTCACTGGACCAACCATAGACTCAGCCTGAGAGATCAGGCCTGGTTTGGGATGCTGGTTACTGAACAGGGCACAGCGAATCAGACACCATGCACGGTATGATAAACGCTGGGGTCTGTCTGGGCGGTACAGACAAGCAGAATGGGTCATCTGGAAAGAGGTTCTAGGGATTGTGATCCTTTGTAAGAGCTGTCACTCTGGACTATAATTTTTGCCCTCCACAGAGAGTAGCAGCATGTTCAAAAGAGATCAGTTGGAATACTGACTCCTGAGCTTACTGTCTCTATAACCTTATTTACTGTTTTTTTTGTTTCTTCATCTTTAAAACGGTGATGCTCTACTTAACTCCCAAGGTTGCTCTGCTCATTGGACAAATGACCAAAAGCAATGGATACAGAGTTGCTATGATTAGGGCTGGTGGCGTTGTTACCCAAAGGCATCCAATTCTTTGACAACTTGCTTTTCTCAGAGAGCAGAAATGCCACCTGCCCGTAATAAATATTTCAGGGAAGCTGAATTATTTATTTATTATATACTTGGGTTTATACGGAAGGAAATTGGTTTCTTTAAAACAATAACATTGATTGGCTTAAATGGCAGAAACAGCACTCTCCCGTCCTTATTTACAGACCCTGGACTGAGTTCAAGCACACAGTGGCACATTATAGATGTACATTCTGACCTGCAGACAAATATGAGGGTCAAAAGATCAATTAAGTAATCTTAACTCGTGAGTGGCAGGGAAAATATTTCAGCTAAAACATTGATCTTGGTTCTGAAATGTAAGCCAGTGGAACTAAATAAGTTCATGTATTCATAGGCACTGGCATCACTTTCTGGCTTATATCCCAGCCTTGGGGACCTATGACTGATGGAAGGCAAAGAGAATCCAAGGATGGGAAAAGAGAGTAAATGGATATTTATTCAGCACCTATTCTGGACAGGCACCCCACCTGGCTGTTTCATGAAGGTAGCTCACCTAATGTCTTTTAATCCCTGGGAGATTAATTTCCTTATTTCTTGTCTTCAGGTAATACAACTGGTCAGTGGCCAACGTCGCAAAAACCAGAATCTGACTCAAAGACCAGTGTTCTTTGTCACCCCCCGGCCTGACCATTCATTTAGTCAGTCAACAAACATCCATTGAGCTGCTTCTATATACTGGGCAATCGAGAAGCAAAGACACGCCAGGTAAGTTCTCTGCCCCCAAAGAGCTTGCAGTCTAAGAGAGACAGACAAGTAAATCTACAATTACCATGCAGGGTGGAAAGGATGGGGTCAGAGGGAAATTTACGGTGAATCTTAATCTTTAGGACTTCTCACTTCTCACCCTCAAATTGTATAAGCTTCAGAACCCACTAAGCCTGGATTCAGCCCTTGGCAGGATAGAATGAGCACCACAGACATGGAGATAAAACATGTGTGTCAGCCAGGAAAGATCCCAGGAGCCGGCACACGAAATGAGACTGGAGTGAGAGAGGGATTTTAGCTACACCAAGAAGTGGAGGTCAGGTGTGGGATGGGAAAGAGAATAGTTGACAGTATGTTAACTTATTCAGGAAGCCATGAGATGGATGGTTGTTGAGAAAGGTGTGTTGGCTGTGGGGGTGGCCAGCAGGGGATGGGGTGCTGGTGAGGGAGGGGCAGGTGAGATATTGGGCTAGTGTAGAAAAGGACTTTTATGCTAAATTCTATAGAACTTTAACTTTTATCCTTCAAGCTAGAAGGAACTATTGAAGGATTTTTAGGACTCCTTTTTTAGGATTATAATTTACAAGCATCCCCCTGGCAGGTAGGATGACCTGGAATTACGGTGACCAACTGTTACTCAGGACTTTGTTGGTTTTAGAATCGAGAGTTCTGCATCCTGGAAAACCCCTCAGTCCCAGGGAAACCAGAACAGTTGGTCACCCTGCCTGGAGGAGGGTGGGCCCAAAGCAAGAGAAGGTGCTTTCAGTGATCTCCCCTGAACTCTAGAGTCTTCATGCATGCAGGTACTCACTTGGCAGCTCCACTTCTACGTCAAGTTGGCATCTCAAAATCAGTGTGTTTAAAACCTCATGGCCTTTGAACTTGTTCCCTCTGCCAGAAATGCTGTTCCCCACATAACTCGTGGTTCACCCGTTCACCTCCTTCAGGCCCTTACTCAGTCTTACTCTCCCAGTGAGGCTGTCCCTGAACCCTTACCCTTGCTGTTCCCTATCCCTATCCTTGCTTTGAATGTCACTCTTTGAGAGAGCATGGAAACTGTACATCCCCTTGCCCATATCTGGTTGTTTCTGAGTTACATCCTCTGAAAAACCAGTGATCTAGTAAGATGTTTCTCTGAGTTCTGCGAGCAAATTAACTGAACCGAGGAGGGGATTGTGGAAACCTCTGATTCATAGCCAGTTGATCAGAAGCACAGGTGACAACCTGGACTTGGCTGTTGGCATCTGAAGTGGAGGGGGCAGTCTTGTGGGACTGGGCTCTTAACCTGTGGATTCTGATGCTATCTCCTGGTAGATAGTGTCAGAATTGAACTGAATTGTAGGACACTCAGTTGGTGTCCAAGAATTGCTGAGTGGTATGGGGACTACCCCCCTGACCCCCCCCCTGCACTGGAATTGGGTGCAGAACCTTTAAATGCTCAAGCAACTATCTTGGCCCGTGATGTTTGATGCCATGTGCTAGGATGGCAGAATCACACACGCTCAGCTTCTTCTCCTAAATTCACCAATCACCTACATTACTTCTCCTCCCTTGGGGATCAGAGAAAAGCCAGGAATATGAGTCTAATGGAAGTTTTCCAAATGGAAACATGAGGAATGGGAAATTGGTTTTACACAGCACAGTACTTTTTTAAATCTTAATTTTATTTTGTGAAACTAAAGTAACATAGTAAGTGTAAAGCTAGGACTCTGGTTCAGTTTAGCCTGACTCTAAAATCTGTGTGTTTAACCACTACAAAGACTGCATAGGTTACCATTACTAATAGTAGTATGCTGGTAGAGTTAACAACCAGCTGTGGGTGGGAGAGAGAACTGTTATTTTTAGTGTTTACCTATTTCCTTGGTGTAAATATTCCTATCAGGTCAATTTTAAGCTACCAATTCTAAGCTACCAACAGTTCAACAACTGACTTGCAAAATTCCTGAAAATTTAACAGTCCGCCCTTGTGGGCCCATATGAGGCCACTCTGGAACACCTCTGAAATATACTTAGCTGAGCCTAAGAGGAATAGCTCCAGGAAAACAGCAAGATGTTTCCAGCTGTCCTTCAGATTTTATGGTTTTGGGTCTAATTAAGATAACAGCAGTCCAAAGCAAGTAGAACACCTGGTGGGCCCTCATGATGTTGGACAGGAAGTGATTAAAGAGTAATGGCTTGACTTATGGCCTCTGAGGAACTACATAGGAGTGTCCTGGCTTCCCTGTTTATTTTTGATGGGCAATCCATTTTCAGGGAGATCACAAGTACCAAGTGACTCTTCTGGTCAAAAAGAGTTTCAAATATTCCTCCTGTTGACAAAATGCTAAGAATGGCATCCTTTAAGAATGCATTGCTGGAGCTGAGGGATTTTAGTTCTGCAGAGAGAAGGAGGACCAGAGAGTGCTTGGGTGAGAGAGAGAGAGAGCACTCTGTTGTCACAAATCCACAGTTGACATCTTGCAAGTTGTGTTGGAGGGATGCAATGCTTCCTCCAGTAATCAATGGAGGGCTGTAGCTCAATGAGGGCTGTAATTTGAGCAAGTGCTGAGAGGAAAGACTAAGACTCTTTAATAAGTTGTCTGTGGTGACAAGGGCAAAGCAGGGCACGCAGATGAAGATCTGGACAAAACCGGCCCCGAGAAAGTTCTCTTACTTACCACATCCTTAGGAGGAAGGCTGGAAACTGTTATTGGAACCCACTGTACATCCTCTGTAGTGTGTGGATGGTGAGTTTATGCCATAGCTATAAATAGTTCTCCTAACAGAGTGGGCTCAATCACACTCGATAAATCATTTTGTTAACTACACAAATTCCTGAGTTGAAGAGGCTCTTCAACTTCATTGAATACAGATTCCAGACCTAGAGGCCTCTGCTCAAGGATTAGATGTTCTGCATGTGAATAAAACAAGGCCATCAGCCCCTCCCAGGATTCTAGCTCAACTGAGTTCTGTGTTACATAAGCAGGATGTTTTGACCTGTGTTCTCCTTCACATCCCTTTGCTCCCTAAGAGAATCTATTCCAAGGCCCCAATGTTTTTTGATCCAGCTCACTTGTTTTGAATCTGTTTTATTACTCCCAAGGTTGAATTGCAAATTTCAATTTTCTAGTGGTGGCATAGTGCTTGTCCAGTGACAGGATTGTAGACATCTTACATGGAGGTATTGCAGAATGAGGGTCTTGTCCTTCGGTCCCACCATGTCCCTATTCATGAGGGCAATAATGCTCACCTATTAGTCCATGAACAAGCCTCAGAGGGACCATGAACTTCTAATTTGCATGGGTCATGTCCCTATGTCTGTTTTTGGGGGTAGTGGGTCTATCAGATTCTAAAAGTATTTTGTGACCCCTCCACCCCAAAGTAAGATCTGCTGAAATTGTCCCTACCTTTTGAAAAATGTGAGTATTTGACTTTGAATTATGTCTTTTTGGTCCCCTCCCCATTGGCATTTTCTTAAACTTAAAAATGTGAGTTGTCATCTTCTGCATTTTGTCTACATGATCTTCCTGTCACTATCCTCCTCCTCCTCATTATTAATTTTATTTTAGGGCTTTTCAGAGAAGACTCTTGAAAAGTAAGTAAACAGATAAATGGATGATATTGAAACTAGTATTTCTGATCTGAGCCATAGGGTATGTCATGTAAAAATATTTAAGTGTTAATGAGAAGTCACATTGCACTTTGGAAATCAGAGCAGGCATCTGTGAGTGGTGACTATGTGCTGGTTTCATGCTAACACTTGTTGTGGATTATCTCATGAATCTGGGAGTCCTTTGAAGTGGTTACTGTCATTAACCTCATTTTATAGCTGAGGGAAGTGAAGCTTACAGAGTTAGAGTAACTTGCACAGGTCTTCAGCCTGGATCTGTCTGGCTCCAAAGCCTAAACATTTAACCACTGCCCTGATTAGAGCTTTTTCTGCATCTAACGAGCATCCCCTTTCTTTTTCTAACTTTAGGCTATGAGGGTATGGATCACAAAAAGGAACCTTGAAACTATCAGGTAGGATATTTTTTTCCTTGCCAACTTCTTATTTTAAAACATTTCAGACTATAGAAAAGTTGTGAGACTCATACAGTGAACATCCACATATCCTTTATGTCAATTTACAAGTTTGTCAGCATATGCACATTGTGCTCTTTCTCTATACAGATAGATCTTTTCTTAACCATATGAAAATTCATAGCAGGTGTTATGACATCTCATTCCTAAATTCTTCAACATGCATTTCCTAAGAAAAAGGTCGTTCTACATTTATAGTACCATGATCACATATAAGAAAATGAATAATTATCTACCGTGTTCCAATATACAGTCTGTATTTAAATTTCTGTAGTTTTTCCTAAGAACATCTTTTATGCCTGTTTTCATTTCTTTTTTTTGATCCAGGATCCAATAGAGTTTTATGAATTGCATTTCCTTATGATGAGTCCCTAGTCTGTGTAAATCAGAATAGAACCTTTCTTCCCTCTGTTACTCCATAACATTGACATTTTAAGAGTCTGAGCCAATTGTGTTGTAGTCTATCCCACATTATGCATTTGCTTTGTTCTTTCCTCATGATTAGATGCTGGTTAAGCATTTTTGGCTGGAAAGTGTCATAGGTGATGTTTTATTGCATCAGATCAGTAGGTACCTCATGCTACATTGTCCCACTATTGGTTGAATGAAGTTTGATCACTTGGATAGTGTGATGGTCACAGATCTTTTCATTGTTAAGGTTACTTTCCCCATGTAAATAATAATTTGTGATTATTTGAGATTTCATGAATGTTCTACTTCCCAACTATCTTTCATCCAATGGTTTTAGTATCTATTAATGATTTGCCTTAATCAATTAATATATGGAAGGGGACAAAACTATGGTTTTTTTTTTCCTATTCTTTCTTCCACTTTCTTTTTTTTCCCTTTATTTTCTGACAGTATTCTTTTAAAAAAAAGTTTCCCCCTCCTCCTTTTTTGAGTATCACTATGGGATCATAATTTCTTAAAACTAGTTCAGTGCTTCTTTGTCCTTTTGACATAGCCTCATTAATCTTTGAGCACTTCCTTGACATCTGGCCTGAGATGTCTTGACATCACCTTTTATATTTCCTGCCCCAGACCTGGAACCATGTCCATAAGACACCCTGGTTTCCTTGAATGGGAAATGGCATTTACAAACGAAAAACTCAGTGTGAGGTATGCTCATTACTCCTGGGGTATCATTGCTTCTGGCCCTTTTTATAGATAAAGCTAGAAAAAATATTAAATAATGAATTCATAATGATTCCTCAATTGAAGTAGAAACCAACCCAAAACCATAATGCCCCACACCATATATGTATTTTCCTTATCCCACAGTGAAAACCTTGGTTTTCAACATCAATGTATTTACTTGTTTATACTGTCATAAACACAATAGCACAATAAACACAATATGGGTTCAGAAACACAACAACCAATAACCCTGTTAATTATAAACCTACTAAGCTCAAGATGTCTTTGCAATTATTTTGATCTTAGAATATATTCTATTAAGAATGTATAATCTTAGTATTATATTTAAAAGTTACTTGAATTAATTTATTATTCTATGTGGTGATCTTATTGTAGAAATACTTCTTTCTGTAGTCAATATTAAGGTTTACTTTTTATTTAGTTTTATGGTTTGACTATATAAAATATTTACACAGCTTAAAAGTTAAGACTAGTAAAAAAGTTCTAATCAGAATAGTCTTGCTAGCACCCTTATTTCTTATACCCCACCAGCTGCCCCCTATGGGCCATTTTTAATTTATCCTTCCTGACTTTCTTTTTGCAAAAATAAGGAAATATATACATATACATTTTAATTTCCTCTTTCTTATACAAAACATCATACTATGAACACTCTTGTACTTTGCTTTTTATCACTTACCAGTATGTCCTGCAAATTACTCTATATCAGTTCATAGAAGTCTTCCTCATTCTTTTGGATGGCTGCATAGTATTGTATTGAGTGGATGTACCATAATTTACTTATAATGCCCTGTAGAGGGTATCTGCACTGTCCTTAATGTTTTGTTATTACAAATAATGTAATAATAAATAATGTGCACATATTTTTTCTATTTGTGAAGGTGTGTTTTTCAGGGTAAATTTCTAGCAGTAGGATTGATGGGTCAAAGGGTTAATGCATATATAATTTTGCTAGAAGATGCCAAATCCCCCCCCTTTTGGGGTGTACCATTTTTCTCTTTCACCATCAATATACAAAAGTTCTCTTTCTTCCCCATAGTCTTGCCCTAAGTATATTGTCTAGTCTTGAGTTTTTTGCCAACCAGATAGTTGAGAAATGGCATCTCAGTGTAATTTTAACTTGTATCTCTTTTATTGTGGGTAAAATTGAGCATTATTATATATTTAAAGACCAACTGTGTATCTTTTTCCATGAACTGCCTGCTCACATCTTTTACTATCTGGTAGGTTTTTAATGGATATCTTAGAAATCATCAAATTTTATTTATAATGTTGGAGTTTACAAAAGACTTTCATAAGTGATCTTATTTGATCCTAAAAGATTTTGTAAACCTCAGAAAGAATAAGGACAGCACTGGTGAAATAGAACAGTCTTGTTAATCTGGAAAATATGGGAGTCCCTGCAATTATACACATGAACTATCTTGTCTGATGCTGATAGAACCCTCGAGCAGAATGTTTCATGTAGAAGATTATTAATGCTGCCCGAGGGCTGCTTGTAACATCTGTATAATCATTTAATAAACATCCTAAGACATCCAAAGTAGTCACACAAAGCTCCAATTGTTTTCTGCTTATAGTATGCCTAAAAGAAGCAGTGGGATGGAAAGGGGTTTGGCAGAGCGTCAGCTACACCTATGAAACATTACAGTCTGGTAGCTCTGTTCACTTGGCTGATTTTGTGGTTGGTTTTTGAATTTTTGCTTTTACTCTCCCTTTTATTCAGAAAGTAACTTGAACTCTCCTCAATATCTATACTGATTGCTAAATCCAGCAATTTTCCTTTCTTAAGAGGTTCCCTGCTGAAAGCTTTCCGTTTAGCAAAACGAACCACTAAATGCAAGAAGGGTTGAATTATTGGAATTATTGTTTGGCCAATGTAGACTGATCAACCCTGCCACACTGTGATCCAGAGAAAGATTTTTGGAAAACAAAGATCATTTTCCTCAGTTGGAATAAAACTGCTCTGCAAGGAATCAAATTGACCCTCTGTCAGCACGATCTTCTTAGGTAAAGAGAAAGATGAATGTGCTCTGTCCACAAATGAAGTTGGCCAAGCAAATTGGGGGTGTGGAAAAAGCCTCACTAGCTTCCCTATTGATCTGAAAATCACCTTCTCGAAGAAGTAAGGTGAGACATGGAGCACACATCTCTAGTTTATAAACCACTTTCACTCATGGGCAGGAAGAAAGATACAATATAGTGTCTCCATTAAGCTTACACTATCCTCAGAAATCATGCCAAAAATCAACACAGGGTTGGAAATGGAGGGAAATGGATGACTCAGGGTTTCTCATGAAGGATGTGAAACAACTACCCTCGGAAGCAGTCCCTTAACTAAAGCAGAGGTCAGAAATGACTAAACAGGGCGCCTCGGTGGCTCAGTCGATTAAGCGTCTGCCTTCGGCTCAGGTCATGATCCAGGGTCCCTCTGCACCTCCTTCCACTCGTTCTCTCAATCTCTCTCTCTCTCTCATATAAATAAATAAAATCTTAAAAAAAAAAAAAGAAATGACTAAACATAGTTTCCATCTGAAGTTAAGCACCACAGGCAATGAAGTACTTGAGGCTCCCATATTTCTATAGAATAGATTTGAAGGTTGCAAGGGTAAACACCAGGCCCTATAATAAATATGAGAGACAAGATAGTGCAGGTAGATTACAGGAGATTAAGAGCTGGGTGCAGGAGAGTTCAGATACTTGTAAACCAACCTGACTGAGGTATAATTCATAAATAATATGCACACAATTGAAGTGTACAGTTTCAAGAGTTTTGACAAATGTATATACCCATACCACCACCACTGTCAAGATATAGAATGTTTCCATCACCCCAGAAGTTTCCCTTTTTTCCCTTCTCATTCCTGGACCTAAGCAACCACTGACCTGCCTTCTGTACTATAGATTAAATTGAAATTTCCTGTGAGTTTCATGTAGATGGCATCATGTATTATTTATACTTTTGTGTCATGCTTCTTTCATTCAGCATAACATTTTGAGATCCACCCATGTTGTTGCTTGCAGTTCGTTCCTTTTCATTTACCCATTGTATGGGTATATGACAATTTGCTTATCTATTCACACATTGATTGACATTTGAGCTGTTTACAGTTTGGGACTATTATAAATAAAGTTGACGTGACCATTCACATACAAGTCTTTGTGTGGGCTTTTGTTTTCATTTGTCTTGGATAAATACTAGAAGTGGAATTTCTGTGTCATGTGGTAAGCATATGTTCAACTTTATAAGAAACCACTAGACTGTTCTTTGAAGTGTCTATAGCAGTCTACATTCCCACAAGCAATAAATAAGAGTTGAGTTATTCCACATCCTCATCAACACTTGGTATTGTTACTCTTTTAATTTTAGACATTCTAATGGTGACTTGATTTGCATTTCTCTATTAACTAATTATTTTAGGTTCTTTTCATGTGCTTATTGGCTATTTATATATGCCCTTTACATATTTTTTTTAAAAAATGGAGGGTTGTTTGCCTTATTGTGGTTGTTAAGAGGTCTTTAGAGATATTTTTGATTTTTTGATACAAATTCTTTGTCATCTATTTGTATTGCTAATATTTTCTCCTAGCCTGTGTCTTGCACAGAGTGCTGTTGGTGGACAAAAACAAAACAAAACAAAAAAATCAGCACCCAAACAAGAGACAAGAAGAAACGCTTAATGTAAGAGGAGGTGATTTTTGAATTCAGACTTGAAAGAAGAAAAGTTAGTGGGAGGGTGAGCCCACCATGGTGGAGCTTTCTCAAAGGCACCAAAAAATGA